AGTGGAGATCAGGACAAACAGGCCTCACGCACGCACTGAAACGCCAACCTGAACCAGATTATTCCTGTTTGGGAAACGCTGTGTACGCCATTCTCCCTCAAACACACACACACACATTAAAACGCCAAAATTCGCGCCGCGTTTGACAAAAAAATGACGCTCGGAAATACAGATACATTACATTCTCCTGTTTTTTGTTTTATAGCTCCACGTAGTTTATGGTTATTATCTGGCCTTGTCGCAGTCGAGAAGCTTTATCCACTTGCTCTTCGACAAGAGATAAAGAGAGAGGAGTGCGCATGCGCAAGAAGTTGCTAGATGATTACTTTTCACCCAGATACAAGAGCTGCTGCTGTTCATGCTGCTGGTGCGGATTCCTGTGACCTTATATGGCAGTGTGGGGGATGGAAAGGCGCCTTTACTCTCCGGACCAGGCAACTGACGATAGTTCCTCAAACGCACACTGAAATGTGTTTTTACCCTCTTTCCCCCCTCGTCGGGAGCTACACCCTCACAGCGAAATGATAGAAATAAATACTTCACCGTCGACTCGTGTAAACTCTGATGTTATGAAAACAACCGACACAATCCTAGGAGGGAGAGAAACTCCCTGTCTTTAACTCTCTCTCTCTTTCTCGCTCGCTCTCTCTCTCCGTCCCCCTGGAGTGATCGAGCCTCACCCAGTTATGGCGCAGCAACATTTCACAGCACAGTGCTATCCTTTGTCTGTAAAGAAGCCATTTTGTGAACAACAGCAGTTGGAAGAGAAAACCCTCTGAACAAGTGTAGCCTAGAAAAAAATTGTCCAAATGGAAAGCAGTACAGATTTTTCCTAGTATGATGGTCTTTTTGCTCTTTAAGCTGTGGATTACATGTTTTTTTGAATACCAACTGTAAGTTTCTAACATCAATTAAAATATATTTTTTCCTTCAGTAAATAAGTGAACATTTAATAATAAGATCTGAATCACTATGTGTGCTCCTGTATGTTGTCTTTCATCTTTAAGTATACTTACATGTAGACAAAGTCAAGTCATGAGTTAAAATAAAAAAAAATCCAGTACCTCTTAAAAGATAAGAACATCTCCTTGGGCTTCAGAATGATAGATCTCTCTGAGAATGTCGAGGTTATACTTGACTGCAATCTTGTCTTCAAGAAGAGAGAGAGAGAGAGGGGAGATGGTTTGCATATTGCCCACACACAGATGATGCTTGAAGATGCATTCTCGCTGGTTGACAGAAGCTCTTTCTTGTCTGCCACTGATCAAAGAAAAAAAAAAGTTGTCAAAAGAGCTCTCTTTCCTGCTAATGGATTCCTTCCTTTTCAGGAGACGCTCTCCCACCCCATTATTAATGCCATTATTAGAGGATCCGAAGATGGAGCTGAAAACATTGCTGCCCCTGCGTTTAGGCCTGTTAACTGCTTTTCACCAAAGTGCTGAGGTAAATATTTTTACCATGAGAGTTTTCTCTCCATCTGCTACCTCTTAGGATCGACAGAGTGCATATTGATTTCTGTATACTGTAACCAAAAGGGGAAAATGGGGTTTTTGAGAGAAAATTTGAATATGCCCTTGAAGAAGGGTCAAGCCATCAGTTTATACTTCTGATTTTTTTGGATGCCAAATGGTCAGCACTGATCCTAACCCCGTAGTAGACGTAGTCTCCAGAGATGGGTGTTACTGAATCCATCAATGCCTTGCTGCAGTCAGAGGGAAGAATTTGAAATAATTAATCATAGAAATAGGAATATCAATCAGTCAACATAATAAATTACATTAAAGAGGGCAATTAGTTTTCCCTCACCAGTTATCTCTCAGCTTGAGGAAGTGCGGCATATAATCTTTAGGCTTGTAGGTCCTATACTGGTATGTCAGCATGCCAAATAGTATAGAACGTCTTTATGTTTACTTAAATTTGATGACGGTTCATACAAAGGCAGAAAAAACAATTTAATCACACCAGAAGCATGCCATACATTGACACAGTAAAAAGCACTATTTTAAATATTAAAAAATAAAACTTTCTTTTCTGTTATCTATTTCTACAAGGCCATGAGTTCAAAGCCAACAGTCAAACATTACACATATGGTCACATTTAAGTGGGTTTTTTTCAATCTATCTGAACATTTATTTCACAATATTTGTTTTAAATACTATTATTTTATGTATATGGGTGTGCCATGACCTATTTAAGACAGAGATGGATTCCAGGCAGAGGAAAAAAAACTCTCAAAATGTCACAGGGCTGTTACATCCAGTACATTCTTTCTCTTCCTTCTTCTCAATCCTTTCAAAGGAGGAATCATAGTTTTAATCATAGTCCGTAATGGTGGTTGGTGATGATGATGAGAGATGAAGGAAATTCAAGTGTAAGATCCCTTTAGGAACAAAGGAAACCCATGTAGGCCATTGAGTCCTGTGTGTGTTTGTTAAAGGTAAAATGGCTGCCGACAGCGCTCAGCCCCCTCTCTCAGCTCTCTGTTGAAGGACTCCTGAGCCGTGCTTCTAATAGAGACTCTGCTCCTCCGCCGCTGCGCTCTGATTGGCCCGCGGATCCACCGCTCTTAACCAGCCAATTGCCCGAGCAGCAAAACATCGGGCAATGTCAACGAAAATCGACTTCAGCCTTCCCCCAAATTTGTAATAAATTACAAGAACGATTAAAAAAACGTTATCAACATAAAGGACTTGAATATCGTTAAAACAAAACAAAATACGGACTTAAACACGCTGAGGCACTAGATGTTTGCGTGCATTCATAACAGGCGAAGGACGGCTTTAGAGACGCTTTACATTTATTTTGCCATACTTGCGCTCGTTAAATTCGAAACAAAGCAACATATAATTAAAAACATAAAAAACATAAAAACTCTCCACTGAAACTAATACTACTTATAGAACTTAGTCGTTGCGGCAGATAGTTTCGTAACAATCCTACCGAACTGTTCTTTTTGTTATCATATTTCGGTGTGACTCTGAGTTGTCAAATTCTAACTGCAACTGATGTTGTCTTTTTTATTAGCTAACTGTAGCAGTTGAGAAGAAATTGACCCTTGTGTCTATCTTGTGTTTGCTATTTAGGTAAATGAAGACGGCAGATTCGCCATAAATAAGCATTAAGCGATTTATTCACCAATTGCCGCTATTAGCTATCCGTGATAGTGGACCTAACCAATATTGACGGTTATGTTAGGTAGAGCTGTGTTGTTATTAAAAACACAGTTAAATGAACAGTAGGGAAGGGAATAGATTTGTGTCGAAAGTGCGACAACCGTCGAAAGGAGGAGGACAAGCCTGGCGGTGTATTGTAGGAGAGACAGGGATCCTCAGAGCAGACACACATACACATACACACAATATGTGTTGGCTCTCGCCGTAAAGGAGGCAGTATTCTTCAAGCTAAATCATGTAATGTAAGCGGCGAAAAGGGAAAGCGATTCGCGTCTTTTCATCCGTTCTGGAAACAAAAAACCACTCGATCGGACGAACCATGTCCAAGCCAGGCGAGAGAAACAGATTGAACGAAGACCATGGCAGAAAGCAGAGTTCAAGTAAGCTTGTTCGTTTTCCCCCTTCTCTTTCTCTATCCAGCATTCTCCTAATGCCTGCTCTCCTCTTCGTCACTGGGATATTTATTCTAGATCCCGATTTCAAACCTCTCACTCTGAATGTACCCTGCATGTTTGTGTGGCTGTTTGTAAAGTGGTGTGGGAGCTGCTACCACAGTGAAACAGCACGGTGCTCGACGGCGGCTCTTCTCTCCCTGTCGTTTCAGGTTTGGCGAACGGCATGGACAGTCATCCTGTCTGCGGCTCGGCGGAGAAGCGGAGTCACCACTGTAGAAGTTACAAGTTGATCATCGACCCGGCGCTGAAGAAGGGAGAACACAAACTGTATCGCTACGATGGACAGACTTTCAACCTGCCCGTAAGTGACGCCGCGAAAGCGCCTACAATAGTAACCGAGTAGCCGACCTCCATGATGGGCTACAATGTGGCTGTGTTGCCGTTGCCTGGCCGCGGATGTTCTACATCATCTCAAAACATCGTGACGAAGCCGAAGTTTGTCCTAAATTAAACCCGGTTACCACTTTGCAACAAGTTAGTCTGCTGTGAAGTTGCGACTTGGATGGATAACAGCTGTGTTCCCTCTCCTCTTCACCCACAGAACCCCGGGATTCCACCGGTGGACATCGTCCGGGACCCGAGGATCGGTCGTCTTTGGACAAAGTATAAAGAAACGGATCTTCCGGTGCCTAAATTTAAGGTATACACTCAGAGCGACGATTGATAGTGGTGCTGTCAAAAAGTTGCAGACACACCCCCCTTCTCAAGCTAATCATGTGTGGGACACTGAGTGAAAGTGTGATCGTAGAAGCATGAAACCAGTCAAAGGTGAAACACACACTCCTCTGATTCATCTTTGATCCTTTTGTTGATGCTGGTGTTTTTGTTGACAGGTCAGTCAACGTCAGCGTGTTCACAGCATCTGTCAGACACTAACACTGACTCTTTCTCCTCCTTTTTCCAGATCGATGAGTTTTATATTGGTCCTGTGCCTCCCAAGGAGGTGACATTTGCCAGGCTGAACGACAATATCAGGGAAGGATTTCTTACGGACATGTGCAAGAAGTTCGGGGTCATCGAGCAGGTGGAGATCCTGTACAATCCGAAGAACAAGAAGCACTTGGGGATTGCTAAAGTTGTTTTTGAGAGCGTGAAAGCTGCCAAATCAGCTGTTCAGTCGCTCCACAACACATCTGTTATGGGAAACCTTATCCACGTGGAGCTGGACCCAAAAGGTAAACACAGTGATTCACTCGTTCAGAGAGCACAGGCTCGGTGCCCTGTCCCAGTAACTGATGGAGCTTCTTCTCTGCTCCAGGAGCTCCGTTTGACGGCACATGAATCTGTGTGTCTGTTGTCAATGACTGACAGGGCACCAGTTTTTTTTTCTACATGCACGTGCTCGGCTAAGTAACGTGGGAAAATTGAATTTCATTGAATTCTATGCTGCTCCCTAATGCCCAGAGGTGCAGGTGACGTCTAATCCCACTGCGCCTAATTTCCGACCTCTGAAGAAATACAAGCCGGTGTGTTAAAGCCCTCTCCCCCTTTAGTCCCTCTAGACTTAATAAAATTGGGTCTTTTTTCTGGAGCTGTTTTGAAATTATCACAAAGCTTCAGTCATCTTTGTATTTAAAAAAAAAGTTTATTCAATATTCTCTTGAACTGGCCTTGGTTTAGCACCTGAATCTGTGACTGATGTGTGTAGGAGGTTGTTGTTGGCTCCGTTTGTTCATCTGTGAGCAGCATAAATCCACAGTCTTATGTACAGACTTTAGTTTTTAAAACAATCTCCCAGGCCGTCATTTACAGCCCAAAGAAAAGAGCGTTTGAGTTAAATGTTGATCTGCATTTGGGAAAACCACGTGTGAGGTGTCAGACACCGAGCCTCCTGTGATGTTGTCAGTGTGAGCGCTCTACACACGTGAAGATCTTTTAAAATAATATTCATGTTTGTTTTGCATGTCTGTGTTATTTTAGTTGCAGTCATGCAGCATAACATTCACATAAAAACTGGTTATGACTGACAGTGGTGTTATTATTTTTATTATCTGGCCACAATCAGTGCCAAGGAGAAACCATGTCGTTGATTTGGATTAAAATAGCGTCTTTTTTTAACCATTTGAAGCCAATATTAGACACAGTGGTTAAGTCAAAGTGTTTGTTTAATAACACCCTGTGAAAAGCACTGCCCACACATTTGTGTTAGTGAAGTATTGCTGACGTATTTGAACCAAAACACACTGTCAGTGAACCTGCTTCACCACAGTGGCTTCAGGTCTGATCATATCTCTCTGTGTTGCAGGTGAGAATCGCCTCAGGTATTTCCAGCTCCTGATGAATGGCAGCTACACACCGAGGACCCTACCTGTTGGTGGAGAGGAACTGAGGGAAGTTTCTCCTCGTAGCCTGGCAGAAGCATTACTGGTATATGAAATATATTTGTTGTTATTCAAAAGTACACATTTAATAGAAACCACCACCTGAACAGTGAGAGAATCAGTGTGGTTTTAACTGGACTGTTGGACTGTTGACTTAGTTAGCAATCCACGTTGCTGTGCAAGTTCTCTGCAGCAGAGCCTCGTCACTGAACTGAAATCACACACCTACAGAAATGTGTCCTGATCGTGCTTGGATTTATTTATTTATTTTTGCTGTTCCTTGGTCTGAACCCTGGATTTCTTTTCTCAGGCTTGCGAGCCAATCCGCAGGTTGTCGGAGGGCAGTCTGTCAGGTGTGGCACCGACGTTACCCCCCAGCAGCTCCACCACTCCTCTGTCCCTGGAGACCGGCTACTCCAGCCTAAGGCAGGACACGCCTCAGTCCCAGGGAACTCCTCATACTCCACGTCCGAGCAGCACGCCCTTCTCACAGGACTCCAATTACTCCAGTCGGCAGTCCACGCCTGCGTACCAGTCGGGTCGGTCCGAGAACTCTGGAGGATACAAATCCCGGAGGCACGAGAGTAAGTTTCAGGATGCGTACAACCGCCGGCCGGAGAGGCCTCAGTATCGCAGCAACATGTACCGCAATTCGAACTCTGAGGCAGCGCCCTTCAAGCAGCACCAACTCACACCACCTGAACCTCCACCGTCCACCCCATCTTACACCTATGCAGCACCCCCTCCTGCTACACCAAACTTTAAGTCCACCATACCCCCCTACCAGGCTCCTCTCCCCCCTGCGTACCCCGTCTCAGAGCCACCGTACCACCACCCACCTCAGAGGGAGGAGGAGTACCTTCGACCCCCACAGCCGCCTCTGGCAGCTGCCGCGGACTTTGTGCCCATTAAAGATAGACCAGAAACCCCCCCTATCCCCGAGCCCCCCCCAGAACCGGTCCCTCTGCCGACCACCCCCCCTCCTCAGACACCAGAACGCTGTCCCTCACCCGGCTCTCCCACGCCCGATCCAGAGCGCAACAGCCTGGATTCCCGCATTGAAATGCTTCTCAAAGAGAAAAGGACAAAGCTGCTGCCTTTTTTAGAGGAGCGGGACTCGGACACCGAGGTACGAATGGTGGGCAGTCCCATTTCCTCCTCGTCCTCTCAGTTGTCCCCGATCCCCCCTTACACAGGCGGGCAGCAAACATCCCGTCCCTGCAGCACAGGTTTGGAGGACATCAGCCCGACCCCGCTGCCAGACACGGATGACGAGGAGCCGATTCCTGGAACTGCCACGCTGATCAAGAGGACGAGTTCGCCCGTCCCTGAGAAGTTGAGCAACAGTGACCACAAAGATGGACATTTCCAAGCGCACACTCCCAGCGATAAAATGGACATGGTAAGGAACAAATGCGTTCACCGTTTACACCTCATTGATAAATGCTTTGATGCAGTGGGTCGAAGTGCCGTTTACTTTTAAAAGTTAGTTCAGTGGTCGTAGCTTTAGGCTAGTTAATGTTGTGAATGTAAACGTTGACAGAGTGGACACAGGAAGTGAACAGAGAGAGAGCGAGGTGAGTGTAGTAAAACTTTGTTGTTAACAAAGTGAAAGTACAAACGGTGTCTTGAGTCATGACCAGGGACGGTCTGGGTTCTTCTGTTGTTGAGTCCACAACAGGAACGGTCTCAGAACAAATAAAAAAAAATTATCGTTATTCACAAACGTCTTCATTCCAAATGAACATTCAGGGATCTGTAACCTCTGCAGGTTTGACTAAAATGACACAGAAAATCTATGACTAGTTATGAATGAAATCAGTGAGCAATTTCATAAATACCTTTGAGCTTCTCGCCTACAACTGACCGTCTGTCTGTACTGGCAGTTGCCGGTTAGAAAAGAGAAACAAGAGTTTCTTTTTGCTGTTGGAGAATTGCACACTCGCACATTTCCTCCTTGCGACACTCGCACCTGACGCTCACTCACAGGAACACACGCTCTGGTTGGCCCCATTCAGCAGCTCACTTCCTGGTTCAGCCCGGTGTGATTGTGAGCGCTGGCTGCAGCATCTCAGGTCTCACATTTCAGGTTATCACAAAGCAAACAGTGCAAACGGCTCATTCTCTCACTCCACCCCCCCTGCTCCTCACGCTGTGCTAGTCTCACTCTGCTTCAGTTTTACAACTTCACACGTTTCAATACAAACAACGGTCGCGTTGAAACGGTTGCGTTTAATGCAGGAGTTTATTTATTTATTTTTTTTGATAATGCAGGAGTTTATTTTTATTTATTTTTTTTTGTTTTACTCTTTTGCCCTGATTTCTTCAGTTTCACATGTTTATATAAGTGTTAATATTGACCTAAACTGAACTAAAAAGTGGTTTTCATGACATGTGGCTGAGAGGTGACGATCAAATGACTGTGACCAAAAACCTGCTTCAGCTCAGCTTTTGTTCATACTTCAAACCCAAATGTCCTGTTGAACCATTTGGCTCCAGTGTGAACACGACACTCATGTTAACATGAAGTCTTAAATTACATGACAGCTTAACAGTGTAATGTGCATTTTCAGATGTGAATACGTGAAATGAATGCTTTAATATTTATGGCGACTTTTTTAGTTTGAAACCCTGCTGGATGTTTTAATGCGGTAAATAAGTTTTATTTAGAACATTTCACAGAATAAGTCTTCTCTTTTGTTCAGTAAACACGTTCTTACAAAATATAAGAGCCACATACAGTAGAACTTTTACAATGTTCCGCGTCCATTTATTCACGTGAACGTCGGCCGGTACCCACTTACCTTAAACCCCATTAGCGCTCAGGTTCTTATGACCATTTCTTCTTCTGTTGTTTGTTATTCATAATTATCGTAGTCGTGGAGAAAAACCTGAGATTCCAGTTTTGACAGTGTCCGCTCTTCACACAGGCCCAGTCGTCGGGAGAGGACATGGAGATCTCGGAGGACGAGATGCCCGGGACTCCGATCGCCAGCGGAGAGTGTGGCAAGGGCATTGTTGTCAACTCGGCCGTTTCTCCCATGCAGACCATTCCCATGCCTCTGCCTGGCTTCCCCACTCTAGCGCACCAGGCCGGCTTCCAGATCCCGCACCACCACTTGCACTCGACGGTCCCGGGACACCCGGGTCACCTTGGCGCTCACCCCGGAGTGCCGCCGCACATGCTTCCGCACATGAACCCTTACCCCCACAGCATGGTGCCGCTGGTGCAGATGGAGCTAATGAACTGCCTGCGGTGGGAACAGTGGAGCACGGTTCCCATGTCGTTCCAGATGCAGCAGCAGATGCTGAGTCGCATCGCTCAGACCCGGGGGCCGTATCCTTTTCCGCATTTTATGGACAGCGGTGCGTTCGGCGGCCTGTATCCTCCCTTGTCGATCGGCGCTGCCCCCGTGAACGGCAACACCGGGTCACATGGGCAGCAGTGGCAACATCCGACCGTACCAAAGTTCAACCCCACCGTGCCCCCTCCGGGATATGACGGGAAGAAGGAGGATCCGCACAAGGCCACGGTGGAAGGCGTCCTCCTGGTCATCGTCAAAGAGCTGAAGGCCATCATGAAGAGGGACCTCAACCGCAAAATGGTGGAGGTGGTGGCGTTCAGGGCCTTCGATGAGTGGTGGGACAAGAAGGAGCGCTCGGCAAAGGTAGGACCTGCTTACTGAAAAAGTCTGCTCCTGATACATCCACCAGGGGGCAATGTTGGGGATGTGAGAGAGGGAGAGAGAGAGGGACATTTAGAGACATACAATGGGGAGGGTTCGGGGGGGTGGGGGCAGAGGACAAGAGGACAGTCAGTGCTGCGGCCTCATACCCCACAGAGAATCTAATCTGGAGAACAGCAGAAACTCCCAGGACACGAAGAGAAACCGATCGTGAACTTTTCTGTCAGCGTTTTCAATTATTTTATTTTATTTTTCAATCAAAGTCTGTTAATATATAACAGTAAATTCAAGTCACAGTTTGTCCTTGTGTCTTTGATTGCAGACGCAACAGGTCAAAGTGACTTATACACACACACACACACACACAAACACACACGCACCAGTGATGTTTTTCTTGTTCTCTACACAGTTTAAACTGTGACAGATCCACTGAAAAGACCAACATTTTCACCTCCGTGTGTAACTGAGGTGAAAACACTTAAAGATCGTCTTCAAATCAAATCACAGAACAAACCGACGGCTCTTCAGAATCAATTATTTATATTTAAGAAAGGCTCAGATTATTTCAGCAGTTGAACTCCTGTCATTGATTTTGCACTGAAGAACAAACCTCAGCTCACTCACAAGTGTGCAAAATCAAATGAAGGTTTGTCAGGACTCAGTCAGAGGTTTGATGTTGTGTCTGCTTGGACAAAAACATCAGCTCAATTAAACAACCTTTAACTCCTACTGGTTGACAAACCAACGCCAAAGAGAACTCCTCATCCGACGAGGTTCGCTGCCGCTGCGTTGTTGTAATTCTGAAAAAAATTCAGCAAATAGTGAAGTTAAACAAAGCGATTGCTTGAAAATCCAGTAGACGGATTGTGTTTGCCTGTGTGTGTACCTCTGCGACTGCAGTGACTGCAGAATACTCAGAATCCTTTGAAAAGTTCTCTCCACAGTTGCAGAATTAGTAGCACAACTGGTGAATGAGGTGTTTTTCCCTCTCTGCCAGGCAACGCTCACCCCTGTGAAGGGTGTGGAAGGAAAAGAAGAAGAGAGGCCCAAACCCAAGGAACCGATGGGTTCGAGTCTGTTGGAGAACTGGAACAAAGGTGAAGGGCTGGGCTACGAGGGAATGGGCCTGGGCATCGGTCTGAGGGGAGCCATCCGCCTGCCGTCCTTCAAGGTAACCTGCAAAAGTTTGGCTCTGTGAACGGAGGATTCTTTAACTGTTGTCGCTCTGCTGCGAGGCCTGTCGGTGGTTAACGGTTGTGTGATGTGCTCAGGTGAAAAGGAAAGGTCCGCCTGAGGCCGCGTCGGGAGGAGAAAGTAAAAGAGCCCGACCGTCAACGCCAGCTGACGACGAGCTGGAGGACGAAGGTAACATTCTGTTGTTAACGATATGTCTGTGCTGGAACATGGGGGTGTCGTCTGCGTACATGCAGCACTGGAGACGTTACCTGCTGTAGACCAGGAGCTGAAGTAATCCATCGACTTTTAGGATATTTATTTACCCCTATAAACTGAATCTAGGTTCCATTTTTTACTGCTTAAATAAATGTTAATTAAATATAATAAATACACATTTGATTAATGATCGTTTTTTTTCTCACTCTTTTCAGACCGGGATCGAGACCAAGCAGATCGCAACTTGGACGACTCGAAGGCGGACAGCGACGGTCTCTCTTCAAAACGACGGCACTCTCGACCGCTGGAGCTGGACAGTGAGGGCGAGGAGGAGGAGGCAGACACCTCAGGGAAGGAGGAGGAGTCTCTGTCTGACCGGGAGGAGGAACCTGACAAAACGGGCGCTGTGGCCAAAGTTTTGTTAGAAAAGGTCAGTTTTTTTTATAACTTGTTACCGGGTGTTTAGAACAATCTTGATGTTTTTATGACGAAACTCACCGTCTCTCAGCAGAGTGGAGACGAGGACAGTGAGGACGAAGAAAAGGAAGACTCCTCCAGTGAGAGCGCGTCCTCCGACTCGTCTGACGACGGTACAGACGCTAACACCGTGTCTCCCTGTCACCTGTCTTTCATTAAGTGAATGTTCCCGTCACTCACTTGTCCTTTCTGTTTCACTCCGACAGAAGCCCAGAGCTCGGCCTCCTCGAAGGTCAGCTCGGACTCTTCCGCAGGAAGCTCGGACTCCTCGGAGGAGTCGAGTTCAGAGGAGGAAGATGAGGAGGAAGTGAAAAGAAGGGTGGAAGAAGCAGAGGACGGGGACGCGGAGTCGTCCTCGTCCTCATCCTCGTCGTCTTCGTCTTCTGATGAGGAGGAGGCGGAGCAGGAAGCCAAACCCCCGACTCCGCCTGCTCTATCGGTTCTAGATGATCTTGAAGACAAGAGCAGTAAAGAGGCACAAAGTCTGAAGTCCAAACGCAGACCACCGAGTCCAGCAGAGCAGCCGGTGGACGAGAGGCCGCCGTCGCCCAAAGACGCCTCCGGTCAGTTGGCTCTTCTGATTGGTCATGTAATGCTAAATGTTAAAATTAGATTTTAAAAACATCTACACTTCTATTGGACCTGAAGATTTCTAGATTCTGATCATTCTGGAAACGGCGAGTTCTTTTAAACCTCGTCACGTTTCTTTACTCCATCATCTCTTTACTGGTATTTTATTACCTTACGACACAGTAACAGTACAGCTGTGTATAGAGTCAGTCAGTTTACACCTGAGTTAACAACAGGTCCTGAAAATAATATATATATATATATTTTTTTTTCCTTCCAGTCAAAGTGGGAGACGTCCCTGCGGTGAAGTCTGAAACTCAGGAGCATGTAGCAAACCTTCGGCCAACCACTCACTCAGTGACCGTGTCTGACAGTGACCAGGACTCGAAAGCCAAAGGTAAAACAGAGCATGTGGACGCGGCCCCCACCCCTGGTCTGTTAGCTCCTCCCCCCTTAGATCCAAGCACATCAGTTCCCAAACCCGTTTCCACGTCGACGATGCATCTCCCTCTCCCGCCTCACCCTACGATCGAAGGTCGTTCCCTGCTTCATCCTCCCCCTGGTCCTCTAGCCGATGTCCCTCAGCGAAACAGGCTCCCCACTGACGAGGACGTTCCTCGTACACCGGGCAGAGACCTGATGGAGCGAGGCCGGGGTCTGGGGAAGTCCCAGAGCACGGACACTGTGCCCAACACGCCCGGCAGCGACGCTCCTCTCACTGGCAGTAGCCTGCTGCTCAGCTCGCCCCACATCCCCGGCAGCCCCTTTTCCTACCCCGCTCAGTCGCCCGTCCTCAGTGCTGGAGTCCCTCGTACTCCAGGGAGAGACTTAACCTTCGCCCCCGTCTTCCCCGACCCCGCAGCACTAACACTCAGTAGGAAGGTGTCCTCTGAGAGCCTGGACGATAGGCCGGTCTTCAAAGAGCCACCAATCAATGCACTGCCTAACCAAGCCCCGACTGCTGCCTCAGAACACTCGGCCGTTGTACCTGAAGATCTGCCTGCTGGTCTCACCGTAGATGCCCCGGTGCCGTCAGACACGGCCGTGTCAAAGAAGAAATCTGGACGAACCAAAAGCAAAAAGATCCCGGCCTCGTCTCCGGCCGAGGAGTCTTTGGAACCGTCGTCGGAGTCCGCGCTGCCGCGTCACGAGGCCAAGCTCGCCGGCCTGGCCTCACAAGTTACCTCCGTCAAGTCCCCCGGGCGTACGAGCCTGGACTTCCGGGAAGCAGAGGCGGAGGCTCAGACGGTGCTGCCGTCGGACGATGGTTTTCTCTCCTACGAAGAAGAGACGCCCGTGAAGCCAGCGCGGAGGGCGCGGCGAAGCTGGGAGGAGCTGCTGCTGAACAGCCTGTCTCCCGTCACCACGCCGCCCCGGCCGTACTTCAAGCCGCGGTCCGACTTTGAGGAGATGACCATCCTGTACGACATCTGGAACGAGGGCATTGACGAGGAGGACATGCGATATCTTCAGATCACCTACGACAAGCTGCTGCAGCAGGACAACGGCAACGACTGGCTGAACGACACGCTGTGGGTCAACCATCCTCATATCCTTCACTGTAAACTGAAAAATCAAACTAATCCAAGTCATGTTGTTGTTGTAATCACATAACAACACCCCCTGGTGGTGGAAATGCAGAACTTCTAGTAGGGTATTTTTTTACAAAGCATGTGCTGGTTGTCATGAATGTTTGGAGCCACTGTTTTTCTTCCTTGACTCCTCTGCACCAACCAACATCCCTGGAGTGAAGAAGAAGAGAAGGGACGATGGAATGAGGGATCACATGACCGGCTGTGCCAGGAGCGAGGGCTACTACAAGATCGACAAGAAGGACAAGCTCAAGTACCTGGAGAGCACGCGGCTGGAGTCGGAGGAGCCGCCGGTCGACACTCAGGTGACCGTCAGACCGAGGTGTTTCGGATGTTTCTGGAAGCAGGTACACACTTGTCTCCAACTGTGTCTTCTGTGCGCAGGGCATGAGCATTCCGGCGCAGGTCCACGCCTCCACCAGATCCGGCTCGGAGCGGCGGTCGGAGCAGAGACGACTCTTGTCCTCGTTTGCATGTGACAGCGACCTGCTGAAGCTGAACCAGCTGAAGGTAAACGCGGTCGGACTGACCTTTGGCCTCCTCGGACCGACGCAGTCATCGTGGATTTTTAAAATGTCGGTCGGATTCACACGACGTTATTGAAAACGGTTCCCGTGTTGTTGTTTCTTTGCAGTTCCGTAAAAAGAAAAACGGTTCCCGTGTTGTTTCTTTGCAGTTCCGTAAAAAGAAGATCCGGTTCTGCAGATCCAACATCCACGACTGGGGTCTGTTTGCCATGGAGCCCATCGCTGCTGATGAAATGGTCATTGAGTATGTGGGTCAGAACATCAGACAGGTGAGAGGCCGCTAGTAGGTCACGTGACCTTGAACAGTAGTCAAACATCTGAACCTCTGGGTCAAACAATAACTGATGAAGTCAAACATTTGAACGTCTTTTTTTTAAATTCTGCGCGTCAACTCACGAACCTGCCGTGAATCTCCTCCAGGTGATCGCGGACATGAGGGAGAAACGCTACGAGGAGGAGGGCATCGGCAGCAGCTACATGTTCCGCGTCGACCACGACACCATCATCGACGCCACCAAGTGCGGCAACTTTGCCCGATTCATCAACCACAGCTGCAACGTAAGTCGTGAGCCGCACGTCGTAGTGAGAGGACGGGCGTCTGGAGGGAGAGACGTGTCGGAGCAAACGGTGGTCTCCGACCTGACAGGAAGTGGTAGAACAGTGGTTCTAAAGTTGTAGAACAATCCCAGGTTGCAGCAGCAGAGGTCGCAGTTCAGCTCAGATTATTGGCCTCATCGTTGTCCAACTTATCGGCCGGAGTTTCACTGTAATATAAAGTAATACTACAACTGACGCAGTAGTTGTCTCTAACCACACGGCGTAAACTCGTTCACCTGCCACTGTTACAGTAACATCACGGTGTTGGTCTAATCTTAATCCAAACCCAAACTCTAATATGACGTTAATTCTAATCCTAACTCCTAAAACCCTCTGACATTTTGGGAATCACCAGACTATTACCACACGGTGGTATTTGTTCCCCATGTCTCATGCATCTTAAAAATAAAAAGAATTCCTCCACAAACCACCAGAGGGAGCCAAGTACCACCACTGGTGCATACACCACTGTTTGAGAACCATTGTCAGTCACAACTTGGTAAAAAGACAGATCAGATGGTGAGGTTAGAAATGAGCAAATGAGAACGACCAAAGAGGTCAAAGGGGTCAAAGGGGTCAAAGGGCATGAGCAGAAGGGAAAGACTTTCTGGAATTTTCTGTCGTTTCTTTCAGATTGAACCTGTGAACCGATGTTTACTCGTTTGTCTGCTCGTCTTTTCCAGCCTAACTGTTATGCGAAGGTCATCACGGTGGAGTCGCAGAAGAAGATCGTGATCTACTCCAGGCAGCCCATCAACGTCAACGAGGAGATCACGTACGACTACAAGTTCCCCATCGAGGACGTGAAGATCCCCTGTCTGTGCGGAGCGGAGAACTGCAGAGGAACGCTCAACTAACGTCCTCCCCACGACCCAAGAGGAAACCGTTCACGTCCCAGATCAGCGTCCTCGGATGAAGACGGAGCGACCGACGCGAGGTTCGGTTTGGGAGGAGGAGGAGAAACAAAAGTCGCCTGGATTCGGTTTCCAGTCGCTGCGTGAACTTCGAGAATGTTTACGATTCATGGTGCTCTTGAGCTGAAAAGAGAAGACGAGGAGAGTTTTTTTTTTTTTTACGCCAGTGACCCAGAGTTCCCAGAACCCCGACTCACTGACGTTGGTCGTCTTTCCCTCAGCGTTCACAGTATTTCGGCCGCGGCTCCGTTCGAGTCCTGGTTTGTACAGTTTTACACTTGTTGCGTTTCTCATTCGTCTCATAAGCTTTACGTCCGACACACACTTTCATGATCAGCTGCTGACTAACACTTTTGCGACGCACAAGCCGGTAAAGAATAACACACCCCCGTGTGTGAGGGGTCGGCGTCGAGAAGACGGCGTTCCCATCCAACAGCGGGCAGGAAAAGCCCAAAGTCCGAACCCTGCCCTCCGGCTCCTACCTCCTCTGAAGTTTTTCTGCTTTTGGAAGACGTCAAACTGAATAGAAACGCCCGAAAAGAAGCGCGTCAAATCCTGCCACAGAATCTGTAACCGTATGGAGACCAGACGTGCTATCACCAGCCAATGACGGGGCGCGCTGCTTCCTGTTTGTTTATGCAAAAAAAAAAAGAAGAAAAAAAAGAAGACTGAGTAGAAGAGGCGCAGATATTTGTACTGATGAAATTCCAGTGTTCCCACTTTGGTTCGAAGGCTCCGGTCTTCACGATCCTTTACACTAAAGTACACTATATTTGTGCGTGCGTGCGTGCGTGCGTGAGAGAGAGAAGGCGTTCATCAAGCTTCCAAGTCATGAAGTATTTATCAACACATCTGTTGATCTTCTGTATGTGTGACTATATGAATGAATGAATGTGAGTGCACTGCCCCCTGTAGGCCACTTTGCAGAAGGTCTCTTGACCATAACAGAAAAGAACAGTTAACGCTCAAGGACACCCCTGCTGGACAGTATCTCCAAAATAGTCAGTTAAATCAAACGTTGGATTATTCCTCGTTGTTTAAATCCTAATCTGGATTACAGTTTGTACCGACACACGGCTGAGCTAGCTGAGCTAGCTGAGCTAACTGAGTAGCGGAAAAGATAGAACATCTGGTCCAGTGTAGAACACAGTAGCAGACGCAGCCCTGGTGTTATCAAACTAGCCTCTAGGGGCAGTTTTTTGTCTCATAACGTGCTCAAAATATCAGTACAAGTACTATGCAACATGAATTGCTTCCCAAGTGCTTGTTAGCCTGTCATTGTTGATGCACGGGTTCCCCTCACATGTCGTCCGTGTCTCGACGACACGAGCCGGTCCCTGCACCGCCCTTTTGGTTTTCTGAGGGGTAAACAGGTTGGTGACTGTTGATAAAGTTCCTTTGAAGATCAGTGGGTACTGTAAAAAAAAAAAAAAAAACAACGATCCACGTTGCATGGCACTTGTAGTGACAAAAAGTTTTGTTTTGCGTTGAGAAGGTCGATCGGTGACTACGATATTAATTCCACCGTTGACCGACTCATTTGAAAACGCCTCAAATGTCTTAAGGTCACAGTCGGAGTCAGAGGTCAGAGGTCAGGGACGAGCACAGACACAAGAAGTTCAACAAGAATAAATAATCAGAAATACTCATCTAAACTAAAAGAAGTTGATAAATCTTTAACTAGTCTTTAACTAGTCATTAACTAGTCATTAACTAGTTATTGACTTCCTTCAACTGACAGTGCTGCGTGACCTCTGACGACCTCTTGTGTTGACGTGGTCGGTGAAAAGATGGGTTTATCTCTCGATGTTGAAGTGCCATATGGTTGTGTCTCTGTCGGTCACTCTGTCTGAGCGACAGTGGACCAGAGGTGGGCGCTGTTGGGCGGTTGTCATGGTTTCCACCTCTTCCTGCAGCAGTGTTCAAGGTTCCCTGTGAGACCAAAGTGTTTCTGCCGCTCAGTCAGGACAAAATTGTTCTTTATTCCATCGTTAGGATGAAGACAAGAAGAAGAAGAAAAAAAATATTTGTAAAGATGCACTCGAGGCCTGAACCTCCCCCCCCCCCCCCCCTTCTCCCCCTCTCCAGTTTGTCATTTTCTTTCACCGAGTTCAGATTAATTAATATTCTCATCCACTTTTTTTTTTTATTTTTCCAGCCGTGTTGTCTATATTGTAAATCAAAAGTTGTACAGAAAGCCTAGTTTTTTTTTTTAACTCCACAGGGTTTATCACTTTTAAGATGCATCTCTTCGTCTCTCATCAACTCTCTCTTCATTTTATATTGGGAAAAAAACAAAACAAGACTGAGTATTTAAAAGTATTTTCAGGGATCAGTAAAATGAATGGAAGGGTTTAAAGGTCTGTTTATTTAAAGAGCGAAAAAAAAAACACGCAAAAAACGCGGTCGTCCAGTGTAGAAAAACAAGTCGAACCTTTTTGAAAGATTGTTTCTTGTGGAAACGTCTTCATTTTTCAGCCCGTTTGCTTCCTAATCAGAATTGTGTAAATACTGTAACTGTGAATATTATATAAATATATATATTTTTGTTCCCTGGGATTTGCTACGTGAAAACAGCTCCGAGGTTTGTGTAACATACGAGGTGAGCGGCGAGGAGCTGGTAGCAGGACATTCAGCTTGTGTCAAGCTTCCTTTTTTTTTTTGTTTGTTTTTTTTTTCAGTTGTAAATTCTATGAAATGTTTGCGGTGTGGAGAACGAGAGAGAGAGAAAAAAACATGGTGCGGAATCGGCATGAGAAGAAAAAAGATGCGTCGGCTCATGTCTATTTATTACACGACAAATGTACGGAAAAAAGGAAAACGTGGAAATAAAGCAGTTTTGCATAAATCCATACACAAGTCTCTCTCTCTCTCTCTCTCTGTCTCTCTCTCTCTCTCTCTCTCAGTAGTGACACAAGCAGGATGGTGCGACCCCACCAGGCAGTGTACGGTATGTCAGTCCAGTGTCCGAACCTCATCATTTTTATTGACAGTAATTTATTCATAATTTTTTATTTTACCTTAGTAAACATTTTGTAGCTACTTTTGTTAGCATTTTAAACAACAAGCTAGTTCATATAGCACGGCTAACGTTTCACCTACTGTATGTTTGACACATTTCTACCAGATTTTTTTTATATCTGTTTTATAACTTTGACTTAAAGTTGCATGGGAAAATTTACATGTAGAACACAGGACATAAAGCTCCATTATGGAACATATTTTATGAAATTAACCAAACTCGTTTCCTGAAAATGTCTAAAAAAATGTTTTTTTAAAAAACAACATATGATAATACTTTCCTGAAAAGGTCTTCAAAATTAAAATATCCCCAAAATTAATTAAGAAATGCAAAAATGTTCCCAAATATATGTAGCTGTGCGCAATTTTATATTTAAAATTCAGACAAATTTTTTTAGAACATCCACTTTTGATCAGAAGCAACATAAAATACTAATAATTTCCTGAAAAGTCTTAAAAAAATTAAAAACAAAAAATGTCCCGTTGTTTTGATTTGACAGCATATATCCAATGAAATTACAGGATAATAAACTGTCAAGGACCAATCAACAACAAACCAATCAACAACAAAATGAAATGCAGTTTGAAAACATGGAGCTAACAGACAAACGTCAGAAGTTGCACAACGAACGGTACGTTCTCAATGAAAGCTAACGTTAGCAATTTGTCTTAACTGTGTAGTTAAATCGACGCGGTCATAACTGGGGTCGTACAAGGAATTCTTATCACACACAGACGGCAGTCAATGTTTTTTAGTTTTTTAACAAAAATGACACAGAAAATGTTATTTAAAATAAAAAAAAAAGTTCTCTAAATGCCCTAATTTTATGAGAAACATTCAGGAAAAGATGAAATTTAAAAAAAAAAATTACAAAAATTTCATCAATTCTTTTTGGTTTTGGGCCAAACTTAACACGGAAAATTAACATTTCGACAGAAAAATTTTATCAAAAGAAATTTCTAAAAATGTTCTCTATATGCTCTAATTTTATGAGAAACATGCAGGAAAAGATGAAATTTTGAAAAATAATTTTTCAAAAATGTTCTTCAATTTATTAGCATTTGACCAAATAAATGCCACAAAGTTTCAATTTTGACAAAAAATGTAATAATAAATTCAGAAAATTACTTAAAATACTTAGCTATGTCCATTTTTGTTGTTAAAATTCAGAAGAAATATACTTTTGTGGTACGCCAACTTTTGATTACATTAAAATTCTATACCAATAATTTCTTAAGCAAATCTCCAAAAAAAAAAAGTTTCTCAAAAATCAGTAAATATGCACTCATTTGCCTTAAAATACTTAGCTAGATCTATTTTTGGGGTTAAAATTCAGGAAAACTTTCAAAAATGTTCTCTAAATGCACTGATTTGAACAAAAATGACACGAAAAGATCAGAGTTTGACAAAAGATTTAATACAAAAAAATTCAAAAAATATTCTCTAAATGCCCTGATTTGATGAGAAACCTGCAGGAAAAGATACATTTTTTGGAGAAATAGTTTTACAAACATTTTTATCAAAATTTGAAGAAATTTGACCAAAAATGACAAAATTGATTTAGATTTTGACATAAAATTTTAATGAAATTAAAAAAAAAGTTCTTTAAATGCTCTAGTTTGATGAGAAATATCCAGACAAAAATAGAATAAAAAAAAAAA